ATCGTCGATTTCGCCCAATCAAAAATGCGATTTACCGATGACCAATAGAAACTTGGGGGTGAAATTAGTAAACGCCGTACGTACGGGCATAGGAACCGTGAAATATATCAGATATTCAACGGTGTGCCGTATTACCACGGCTAATCCATGATATTCACAGTAGCTCGTGGAATATCTATTACTTGCTGAATATAAGATTGTGCTTAGTTTAATTTCATGATATCATATATTCATACATATAGAGTCTTTGCCTTGAAAATCAAGTTATGAAACCTAGTAAATCATATTTGATTTTCAAGGCATATATATCTAATATCAGATATCTGATATTGTAAATAAAACTATATATATACGTAACAAAACAGTATCTATGCATGCGTTTATGTACGTACTAAGAATTTATACGTACGTACGTATGTATAATTCTTTTATTTATGGAAGATGCATTTAGAGAATTTTATCTTTTGAATGTATTGACTAAAGTAGTCCCCTATCTGATGTAACCTGAGGTGACAAATGTAACATAGTATAAAAAGACTTCTTTTTAAGTGCACTTACCATAAGACACCATAAGACACGGATAGATTAGTGAGGTAACCAAAATTCAGCAGATCGACCAAAATTAGGGTCGGAGTAGGCCGGAATTGGTAAATTTCTCCCAAAATTTTACTAATAAATGAAAGCTGCACAGATGATAATTTTGCTGTAGTATAATTTTGGTTGCCAAAAAATAAATTAGCAAAAAAAAGAAATGTGGGTGGGTCTGATATATGGGGATCTTGTATACGCACTTTTACGGTACTCGGAACCATATACACTAAGAGATATTCATAGTTAGTGCATTTATAGAAAATGCATTTAAAGACTTCTTAGGTACGTACACGTTTAATGTTTACCAATGAAATTCTGCTATAGCCACATGGCTATCCTTTTTGTAGTAAACCTAATAATGATAAAAAGGTTATAAATTAAGTACGTACGGATGTACCTGTCAAAAAAAAGAAAAAAAAATGGTTTCGCCTGATGAGAAATCTGATGAGAAACCTTTTCTCCCACCACCAGCAACTTCGACATCAGCTTATTCGCATCAAAAGCAATATACTAGTTTAGTTATTTTCCTGGTTGTAGCGTTTTACTGGGTCGTATCTTTAGCAGTTGTATTCTTAAACAAACTTATTCTCAGCACCTCGGAATATAAATTTCCATACCCTCTGTTCGTAACATGGTTTCAATTGGTCGTAGCGCTAATTGTCTTGTTGATTTGGGGTACTTTGGGCCGAAAGTATGTATTTTTTATCTCTAAAGTATTGTGACTTGAAGGACTTATCAAATAATAAATGAAAATTCAACATATTGCAAACTAGATTCAAAATATTATCACTTATCCCGCCATATGAATTCGATTTGAGCATTGCCCGAAAGGTCATTCCATTGACCTTTATGTATGTCATGATGCTGGCATTTAATAATTTATGTTTACAATTTGTCGAAGTTACATTCTATCAGGTTTGTAATTATTTCACATAAAGGACTTGAAAAAAAACTATACTAAAATATCATTTTATAGGTCGCACGATCTCTTTCAATCCTTTTTAATATTATTTTCACATATACTCTTCTTGGTGCTAAAACATCATTCGCCGCAGTGGTTTGTTGTGGTATTGTATTCATGGGATTCGTTGTTGGATCTTATTACGAAATAAACTTCTCTTGGGAAGGGATTATTTATGGTGTTGCATCTAGTGCTTTTGTAGCCTTATATGGAATTTATGTCAAAAAGACACTTGGTGTAGTTGAAAATAACCAATGGTGAGCAATCATAATTCTTATCAGATACAAATATAGCTTCTTTATATAACTTGTATATTATATTTGATTTAGGCGTCTTCTCCATTACAATACAACTTTATCGATATTTTTCCTTCTTCCATTGGTAATATTTGCGGGTGAACTAACAGAAATTGTCAATGTTCACTTTTTAAATGATGTGGGTTTCTGGATATTGATGACTATCACCGGAATCACCGGTTTTATCATCAACATTGCAATATTCTTGCAAATTAAAGTCACAACACCTTTAACCAACACAATTTCTGGAACGGCAAAAAGTTGTTTTCAAACCGTACTTGCTGCTTTATATTTTCAAAATCCAATTTCTCCGATGGCAAGTTTTTATTAATATGATTTTTGATTTTGTAATTATTTGATTGTGTAATTATTGATCATTTTCTATATTGTGTATTCATTTAGAACGCCTTTGGTATATTTCTTTCCCTCCTTGGTTCCGGGTTATATTCGTGGGTACGATATAAGGAAATGCGAAAATAGATTTATATGTAATTTCGCGTAGAAATTTATATGCGTGCCAATATATACATCTGGTGCAAGTAATCGAAAGAAACAAAAATTAATTTTTTGTAATTATTTTAATAAAATTTATCTTACCGATACAAAATTCGCTGTTTACTCGAAAGGTAATTTCGTAGCGGAGGATCAGATCCAAATCCAGAAATGTAAATCAGGTTTGTGTGTCACCATGGCTAGTTAGTATTAGTATTAGTACAATCGATAAAATAAAAACTATAAATCAAATTTATAACTTTAATTG